GGAACATGTTGGCCCTGTCTACCTGTCTACCTGGCCTCTGCTCAGTACACAGGTCGACAAGTGTTGCACACCACTACTCGTCCCCCCCCCCCCCTTTTCCCCGCAACCCACCCTGACGGCCGCCTCTTCCGCCTTGGCGATCACCCCTCCGATCACGATCGAGCACGATCATGGCGACCTGACCCACCTTCCCTCTCACCCCCCCCACCCACCACCATCCATCCCAACCTTATCACCACTCATCGCAGCATGGCTTCGTGCGTGCAGAACGTGGTAGTCCGGGCGGCGTTGACGGCGTCAGGCGCACTGGTCCCGGGCTCGCCGCTCCTCACCTCAGTGGCCAGCATGTCGGCCAAGGAGTTTGTCCAGGCGGCGGCGGACGGGGCGTACACCACAGCACGGACGGCTGAGGGACGGACGGCGCTGTTCCAGGCTGAGTTTCATGCCAGTCGGCTGGCTGACTCGATGAACGCACTTGTCCGCAATCATGCCGGTGCGACGCCGTCTGCTCTTCCGGCTTCCATCTACGTTGCTGACGACGACGCCTTTGCTGAGGATGACGTGATGGACATGCTGCTCGCGCTCTGCGCTGCTGGCCGCGACGCCATGATGGACGGCCGCGATGCCGGCTGTGGTGCCGCCACAGGCGAAGAGGTGCCCACCCGTGGCGAGCTCAAGGTAGTCGTCTGTCTACCGTCAGCTGAGCGGGTTGCCCATGCACACTTTTCGTCCATGCCGCCTGTTCCGTCACCGCCGGTCGTGGTCGAGCTCCGTCCGCAGGGTGACGTTGCCGCGCACTCGGTCGAGGCCAAGAGCACGGCCTGGGTGCACGATCGGGTGGTGTTTGAGAACGCCATGGCGGCCGACGCCAACGAGGTCATCTGCTACGCCGCTGATGGTGCTGCCGTCGAGGGACTCTCATCAAACGTGTTTGTTGTCACCGCTGACGGCGATATCCTCACTGCTCCGGACTCGGCGGTGCTCAAGGGCTCCATGCGGGCCCTCATTCTCGACCTTGCGGACGAAGAGGGCATTCCGATTGTCTACGGTGCGCCCAACGTGGCCGACGCCGCCACATGGCGCGGCATGCTGATCTCTTCCACATCGCGCTGCGCACTCCCTGTCGACCAGCTGTGGGTATTTGACGATCTCTCGTCCTCAGCCTCGGCCACCTACACCTGGTCGCCGCTTGATCCGACGCTTACTACGCTCCAGAATGCCGTCAACGCCCACATCGCCACCCATTCGATGCCGTTCTAGCGCCACCCCTGTCTTCTCACAGCAGCTCCACCGAGTGAACCGTCATCTCGCCACGGCAGCAGCAGCACTATCGAGTTCGATCCCTCCCCTCCCCCCCCCCCCCCCCCCCCCCCTCCCCTGCCGCCCATCATAGAGTCAGATCGTCCCCGCCAGCCCGTTCGCAATCAACAACCATCGGCCACGACAGCACCGCCAACCATCGAGTCAGATCGGGACACCGACCTACACCCCCCCCCACCTCCACCCACCCCCACCCACCCCCACTCCGACTACCACCACCTTCCTCTCACTGCAAGACACAACATGTTCCACTTTGTCATGTACTTGTTCACGCTCGTGGCCGGCGGGCACGGCCTGCTCTGCCTCTTCGACACGGCCAACGTGGCCGAGTCGGCCCTTGGCGCCGGTGCCGCCCTCCCCGAGTCGCTCGAGGCCCTGCTCCTGCTCCATGGCGTGGCTGCGCTCGGCCTTGCCGCCTTTGCCTTTGCCGCCTCCAATGTGACCAACCTCTACTCGCAGCGGGAAATCCTCAAGGTTGTCCTCATCATCAACCTTGCGGTTGCTGCCGTCCTCGCCGTCGTCCACACTCGCTTCCCGGCCGTCGTCACCCAGTGCGCTACCCTGGTCGCCGCCGTCCCGGCCGCCGCCTTTGTCCTCGTCTCGGCTGCCCTCATTCGCTCAAAGTCCGCCAGCATTGCCGCACTGGAGGCCAAAATCGAGTAGCGTCCTCGAATCCGCCCGTAAACCACACGCAGCTGCTTTAATCGTGCCCCCCGTTCACAGGCCGAGCGCCGCCAGCCCGGCCTGGAGCTTGGCGAAGAGCGGCGAGCCGAGGCCCGAGATCGGGTCCCAGCCCTTGGTAGCTTCAAATCCGTGCGAGCAGAAGGTCACCTTGTTGTCGCCGTTGACAATATCGGTTCCCACCTCGGGCAGCGCGTACAACAGCGGCGCCACGTGGCCGAGCAGCGGCTTGGACTCGCCGGCCCGCTGCGCGTTGAGCAGCGAGACCATGGCCGCAAACGTTGGCGTTGCTGCAGACGTGCCCGAGATCGGTCCGGTCGCGTTGACGGTCACGATCTGGTAGTTGGTCCCCACAGCAGTCACATCCGGGAACCCGCGCCCGGTGGCGTTGTAGTACTTGCCTTCCGGCAGCGGCACCGAGCCGCCGTTGAGGTAGCCCGAGACCGCCGCGTCCTGCCACGACGGCCGCGGGAAGGTCCACGAGAAGCCACCACCTGAGAACGAGACCGCCTTCTCTGGCGGGCTCGCGCTCGCTTCGTAGTACGTGGCGCCCACGGCGGTACACCACGGCAGAGACGCCGGGAACGTCGGCGCGAACTTGCCGCACGAAAACGTACCGGTCTTTCCGGTCCCGTCGTCGCCCGACGCGCACACTAGCGTGTAGCCCATCATCGCCATCTTGGCAAACGCCACGTTGGTTGCTGCCAGCTGCGCCGCGGGATACTCCTGCTCGGCAGAGCCCCACGAGATCGAATGGACCTTGGGCGCCCCAGACGGATGTGACGACGCCGTCGCGAGCACCGTGTTCGACCACTCGACGAGGTCAAAGTCCTTGAGCGAGAAGACCCACGTCGCCACCCCGCGGCCCATCCCCACAATGTACTCGACGTCGAGCGTCGCCTCGCCGAGGTATCCCTTGTCTGGATCGTTCTTGCCCACAATCGTTGGCGGCGCCGCCGCCGGCAGGCCGTACTGCTTGAGGAAAACCGCCACATCCGACGGGTAAAAGTACGCCTCTTCAAACTCGGCCACCGCTTGTGCCACCGACGCCGGCACAGCCACGTCGTACGTGATGCCGTAGATCTTGGCAATGAGGCCCGGCGTCACATCCTGCCCTGGGAACTGGCTCGCCACCCCGTCACCGGCCAGCGCCTTCCGCGCAGGAGGAAAGTCGTCGAGCCCGACAACGTACAACACGTCCGCCATCGCCGCTGCTGGCAGCTCCACGCCTGCAGACCCGCTGTGACGCAGCAGCCGCGCGCCCTGCCCGCGCACAAACCACGCCCATTCCACGCCCCACGCCTTGGCCGCATGCGCCAGCGACACTGTGGCATACACTGCATCGCCCAGCGGCGCGAGCACCAGCGCCGCCCGCGGCAAGCCCAGGCCATCTGCCAGCGCATCTAGCACCGCCTCTGACGGCGCGCACATCTCGCGAAGCTCGTCGGCGCTCACATACGCGGCGTAGCTCGGCGACCGTGGGTCAGCAATGGCCTCGGCCGCCTTCAGAATGGCCTCGTCCTCACAAGCTGGCGTTCTCGCCACCAGCCCCAACCGCAGCGTTGTTGCCTCTGGCAGCGCCCAGTACCGCTGCCCATGCCCGTCGTCATGGCCCACCCGTCGCCACCCGTGCCGCCCGGGCTCGCTGGCCACACCCGTTCCGGCGCCAGCCGCCACCACCGCCAGCGCACACACCAGGCCCAGCACCAGCCCCAGCACAACGTTGCTACCGGTATTCATGTCGCTTGCCTCGCTCTGCTTTCAAATGCTTGAGTTAGGTACGGTTATGGGTGGGGTGGGGGAGGAGGGGACGGCTTGCCAGACAACCGCCCCGCTTTCGTCGCCGCAAAGTGACTCGCACCTGCGCCCGCCACATGATGGTGTTACTCAGCGCCTCCGCCGTAGCCAAGATACTCGTCGTCGTCGTCGGATGAGAGCTGGAAGCCGTTGACATCGTCATCAACGTCGCCGACAGACGCGTCCGTCACTCCGTCCAGCTGCCGCCCAGCCTCGGCAAGGAGCTCGTTGAGGTCGGAGATGTCGTCGCCAAGGAGCTCAAGGTCGGCCTCATCGCCAGCCATGCCGGGATGGAGTTGCTGTACGTTGCTCCCCGTCGCACTTCCACCGTCAGCACCGTCGTCGTCATCGAGAAGGAGCAGGTTGTCGACATCGATGTCGATGTCATCGCCGCCGCCGGCAGCGGACTCGCCGTCGAGCATCAGATCGTCGCCGAGCAGATCCGCGAGCTCGGCATCGCCGTCATCGAGCAATATGCCATCGTCGCCGCCGTCACTGCTCGGCAGGTGTGGGCTTGATGTGGTGACTGTACCGACAGGTGCCGAAGTTGCCGTCGGGGCGGGTGCTGGCGCTGGCGCTGGCGCGGGCGCGGGCGCCGGTGGGGGAATGGTGACTGACGCTGTCGACGCTGCCATGGCGATGTCGGCGTCGCTTTGCGGCTTGCTCCCCTCGGGCTCGGGATACAGAGGCGGAATGGGCTCTGGCTCCGACTCGGGCACGGGCTTGCCCTGGACCAGGGCGCCGAGTTTGCGGTCGCTGTAGAGAGCAGCGGCAAAGTGGCGGGCAACTTCGGCGACGAGCCGAAGCTGGACAGCCTTTTCCGGCGCGTCGAGGCCGGCGGCGGCCATGGTCAGCCCACCTTCGAGCTTGCGCGAGACAACTAGCGCAAGGATCTTGTGCAGGAGAAGTGCAAAGCGGCCGAGCAGCGCTGAACCGTCAAGGACGGCGCGGTGCGCCAGCGCGCGCGACCAAGCGTAGATGTGGCCGACAGCGCCCGGATCGGGCGAGACCACCAGCGACTCTCCGTCGGCGGCAAGCGTCAGCACTGCGCCTGGACAGCCGCCGAGGCCGGCACGCAGAGCAAGCAGCGTCTCTGCATCGCCGTCACCGGTCGACGTCGCCCACACAAACGGCCGAGTCGCCTGCAGCGCCGCGGCAGTCATCGCAGCCCGCGGCCCGGTAATGAGCCGCAGGCCGAGCTGTGCAAACTTGGGTGCAAAGCCGTCGGCGTCAAAGACGCGACGAAAAGCCTCTTCCCAGCTCAGGCCTGCGGTGGCGGTGGTCGGCGGCTCCGAGACCAACAAATCGCGCTTGCGCTTGAGGCAGTAGGCCATGCAGGTGGCGGCGACAGCAGCCAAATCCTCGCGGGCACTGGCATCGTGCGATGGCCCGGCCACGACCGCCGACAGCAGCGCCGCCCGCCCAGCAGCAGCCTTGAGTTGCAGCGGCTCGTGGAAGGAGACACCGGTCGGGATGTAGCGGCCGCGTAGCGGAGCCGGGCAGCGGGAGAGGCCGAGGCGATGCAGTTCATGCGGAAGGGCAGGGTCTTTGAGCGCCCACGTCGACGGAGCAGCGAGTACCGCCAGTTTCGCACCCGAGATAGCCGCCAGCGCCGCTGAGACGCCCGTCGGCAACCGTCTGTCCACCAACTCGTCCAGCGCCACCCACGGCGCCACCAGCGCCTTGACCGTCGCAGCCGCCACCGCTCCGGCCTGCGGCTCGTAGCCGGGACTTGGCGCCGCCGTCTCCTCCAGGCACGGGCCGAGTGTGACCAATTTGTGCATGACTGGGGAAGGGGTAGGGGAAGGGGGAGGGGGGGGGGGGGAGGGGAAGGGGTGGAGTGGCTGTGG